CTTTATTCACACAGGGTTTTCTTCGTGCAGTTTCTTCAAAAATCCACACTCCAACACATTCTCAGGAAAAAGAAAGCAAACCAAAATTGTGCCTGGATAAAAACTTTCCATGCTACGATGGGCCAAAAAAATCTCAGTGTTTGGTTAATTAATTCAATTTTGACTTTTTGGGGTGTGTCTGTGTGTATAGAGCCATCTGCCCAGACTTTTTTGCAGCAAAAGAAGCTTGGAAGCCTTCTGATGACTGGTCCAAGTTTGATGTTTGGCTGAAAACTCGAGATGCCAGGAAAATAAACAAGTAAGATGTCAGGGAGCTGGATATCACATTTCCTGATGCTGTCAGCTCTTTCTTTTTCCCCTCTTTTTTTTTTTCCTTTGAGATTGGATGCATCTAATTCTACCCATGAAGGTGGCATTTTTCAATGTTTCCTTAAGGGTGGATGGAATCAGTGACCTTTTATTTTGCCTTGAGTTCAAGGAAAACTCTCTCAGTAGTGGCTTAGTGAAGAGTTTTGTCATCTGATGTGAATATCATAGACTGCTAGTTGCTTCCTCTGCCTCAAAAAGCATGGTTTAAAAATGACCAGTAAGAAATAATCAGAGAGAAAGCGTAGCTCTCGAGTCTCATTGAATGTAAGAGACTGATACTTTAAGATGTTGTATGGAAAGAAGAAAAGAGTTCTTGATTGCGCCATAGAACTTGCCCAGCATGGTGTAACTGGCCCCAGGTAGCTGATGGCATCTTCCTGATCTGTAGCAGTTTGCAGCACCTCTTGTTTCGCTCTGCAGTTTGCAGCGCCTCTTGTTTCGCTCTTTCCTGGGAGAATCTAACAGGTAGCTTAAGGGCTTCTTCCTCTGCCTCAAAGGCAGACCGTGTGATCCAAATGATCATGTGTCCTCACGGCACAAACACAACACCTCTGGAGAGAAATAGGGCTGATTTCTTCAGCATGCTTGTAACACCTTGGGGTTCTTTTGTTATTGCATGCGTCCTAGGCAGAGTGGTAGAAAACTGATGCTGACAGTTACCCAAATTTGACTCAAACCCAAAGAAGATGAAACATTTGAAGGGGGGAGGAAGAATGACAGCTGGAACAGCTGAAATAATAAGCGAGTACCAACTGCTGCTCTTCATTGAAAGGCTTTTGCCATTCTTTATAGACCAGGCTGTTGAATTCAGGCTGCTACAGGATGCCAAGCTCCTTTGCCATGCGAAGGTGTTTTCTTCTCTGTAACTTGGATTAGAATCTTCTGACCTCTAAATCCTGGTGTAGGGGTAGTGCCCTGCAGCCATTTGGCTGTTTGTATGATAAATGACCCTCGTTCTGGGTGAAGAAGTGTGTGTAGGGACCATTGAGAAACAGAAGCTAGTGCTTCATATGTGAAGCAGGCGATGAGGAGCACAGCTCAGGCAGTGATCTGTGGCCTGTTCTGGCTTCCAGTTAGCTTTGAATTTAAGGTGTTGCTTGATTTTAACGTGTTAATGGTAGCAAGTAAAATCTCCTGTTGTTTTAGTCTTGCACCCAAAGAAATCATGCCTTCCCCTCCTGTGTGCAACAGTGCCCGAGCGTTTATCGGCAAAGAGCTGTCACTAGCAGAGGTGCTGTGCTGCCTTAGTAACACAAAGGGAAGCTGAGAAGGGGTCAGACTGATTAGAGACCAAACTAATTAACTTCCTGGGAGAAAAAATATCTTTCTTGGACTGCTGGGAGTAGCTACGTTGAAGGTTGCTGGGCTTAGGTATTTGGTGAGAAGGTTATGTGAGATGTAACTGAATCGATTCAATTTCCAGAGAGCCCCTGTCTCAGAGGGGTCAGTTGTCACGGAAACTTTTTAGTTTGGAATCTGTCCACTCTCTGCTGCAATGGGAAGGAAGGGTTGGGTTCTGCCTGGCATTTCTTACAGGCGATTCATGGGTTTCAAGTGTCAGCTCCAGCGAAGAAAGAATCTTTTGGCGCTTAATTTGCTTCTGTGTGTTCGTGTGTTGGTGGATAATGTGGTATTTGTGAGGCTGATGTATCAAAGGTGTATATAGCTTGCGTGGCCCAGGGGGCAAGGAACTGGGGCCGAAAATATAGTCTTGAAGTGATATAGAAGACTTAACTACTACCTCTCTCCCACCAATACTTTCTCTTTACTACCTTTGCATGGTGACACCTGCATCAGAGTTAAATGAGTGTTTTCAGAATACAGTGTCTGGACGAGGTGCATTTCAAGCTACACTGTAAATTCTCAAAACATCAGCCGTGTTCGTTACATTGACTTTCCAGGGCCAAATATCTCAGACACTAACTTACAGTTATTGTCAGCATTTTGGCAGTCTAATGAACAGTATTCTCTAGAGAGGTTTTTATTACTTTTTCTATCTACAAAGCAAAAAGTCATCCAGCTTCTCAGAGAATTTTAAGCTTTTTCGACACTTAGGCTGGTGTTTAATCAATCATCTTGTTTCCATTACTTTAGGTTTCCTTTGATGTATGTTGCTCATGTTGCATTTTTATTTAATTCCATTAAGTTCTTGTGGTTTTTTTTCTCTTTCTGATGATTCAGATTAGCAATCCTTAATATTTTTTTGAAATAATTGTTTATTTAAAGTATGTGAAAGAAAACATATTAGCAGCGTGATATGGGGGCACTTACATGCATCTCTGTATTTTCTTTTCATATTTTCAAACACTGATTTTACTAAGGGTGCTTAATTTGCATTTGCTTATATGTTCCAGAGAAGCTGATGCTGTCCTCAAGTGTCTTAAGGAACAGTGTGGTGCAAAGAAATTAAGGGTCTTTGATTTTTGCTGGAGTGGTATTGCTGTACATCACCTGATGATGATATACTTGGACTTAAAGGCTGGTGTATCTCTTTATGGTAGGTAAATAATGTAATGTACATTACAAAATAATGTAAAAATGATGTAATACAAGCAGGCACATGTGCATATGTATATTTCGTAGCATAAGTACTTGGTCTAGCATTATTTCTTCAAATCAGGCTGTCAGCTGATAAAGAGAGATATTTTCAGCAGAGAAGGAAGGATATTATGTAAAGGTATTATGTAAAGAAAATGGTGATGAGGATATTTGTTCCTGGTTTCAGAATGGGTCATAGCAGCCATGTCTTTATTTCAGATCTGCACAGACATACATGTTGTCCTTCGGTCACTTTCCCGATTTAGCTCCCTTTTCCTGTTTACTACTGCTCTGCATGCTGCAGAGCTAGAACTTCACCCGGGAGCAGGCAGTGTTATTTTTGATCTAGCTGCTCTGTAAAGTTAGATTGTGGTTATTTTAACACCAGCTTTCCTTCTACGTTCTGCTCAAGAAGCTAGGATAGCTGAGCTGCCCTTTGCTAACATTCTCAGATGGTAAATGTTGGACAACTTACTAAAGCACTGTCTTTCCCACTCAGTTGAAAAGAACTCAAGCTTACATGCACACAAGGCATGTTTTGTGTGTTATTAATTCAGATATTCAGTCTATATCTTAAGAAACCGTCTTAAATAGAGTTTTAATCTAGGAAGGTATTCTAGGAGCCATGGTTAACAGTAGCTTCAATGTAAAGCTGATATTTATGGTTACATATTACTTAAGACAGGAAAACTTCTCACTGCAGAAGCAGAGTCCTGTATTTACCTTAAAAGGTAAATCTGAATTTACCTTAAAAGTCAATTAAAAGGTTTTTTTTTGTTTCTTTAATGTTTTCTACGTCTAATCAAGAATTCTGATGATATATCCAATCTCCTGAACACTACATTTTTCATTTTTGCTGAAAAAGATGACTTCATTCCCCTTCATCAAGTATGCTAATAACCTCCATCTTCATTCATTCTTCCATGTTTATATTTCCATCCTGAGTTGGAAGTCATGCCAACTCTGCCTCATAATACTGCTTCAAGGTCAAAAAATACCCAGAAAAATGAAGCTAGACATAGAAGGGCTAATGTAACCTAGGCAAAGAATGAAACAAAATCTGTTTTTCTTTTCCTAGGTCTCTTTATTGTGTAGAAGTATGGCTAGTAACCCAGGTAATAAAGTTTTATTGAAATCTCATTACTGTTTTGGAATATTTTACTCAGGGAGCTATCCTTCGCTGTATGACAGCATTTTCTATTGGTCCTAGGAACCCATAAATCATGTAGGATATACTAAATATGGATTGCATCCATAGGTGTCTGTTAGAAGCTTTTTGCTCAATTGTAGTGTATTTAGCATTGTCATTTATTTCACATGTAGGAAATACTTTTGTTATATCCATATCTTTGCAGATTGTTGGACCTGCATTTATACTCTAACAAATTTTCTAGACCGTTATTGCAAAGGTGTTTTTTCTTTATATAATTTTACTTTTTGTTTTGCCTGTATGGAGCTTGGTTATTAGTGTCTAGCCTGAATGATAAATGAGGGAGTTGAATTATGAATAAGATGAGGAGTGGCAGCATGGAATATGGCTGTATTAGTATAACTACTACTACGTTCTATATTACAGGTCACTCTGCTGGAGCAGAAGCTAAAGAAAAGATTGTAAAGTCGATTATGAAGTTAAAATTTGTCTTGGACAAACTCATGGATTGTACATAGCAGAAGATAAGATATCAATCCTCAAGATAAGCCTTATATTGAGGAAGAAAGGATATGATCAACTGGCTGAATAAATACATTTCTACATAAGTCACAAGCCTGAAATTTAGGGACTCAAATAAATTGTTTTGAGCAAAATAAAGCTCATTTTGAAAGTCTAGGCTTTTTGACTTGTACCCTGGAGGCAAGTGTGTTTTTAACAGGTGAGATAAGTCAGCATATCTTGTTTCAAAATTTGTGGCTAGGGTTATTCAGATGGGGGACTACTTTCTCAGATTGCCTTTCATTCTGTGAAACTCTAGAGATGATTTCCTGGTCTGTTTAGGAATTCAAGAGTATAATGCGATCTGCAGACAGGGTGTTTTAATGTGTGACCTGCAAACTATAGTTGCTGTTTAAAGAAGAAACACTACGTGTTTTTGCATAACGTATCTTGCTATGTAATTTTTCCTTCAATGATATGACAAAAATGTCCGTGTCGCATCAGCTCAGCACCCAGCCACCATCAGGGGCCAGCAGTAGCTGCGTAGGGAATTCCTCATCTCTCTCCGCATCCTGGCAGCCAGCCATTCAGGGGATTCCTGAGCTGGATGTTGCTGCTGGAGCAGCGTGTCGAACAGCCACTAATGGGCCTAGCCTCTGTGAATTTGCCAGTCCCTTTTTCAACCTGCTTGTAATGCTGATCTCTAGTGCATCTAATGACTGTGACTTCCACAGTTTAATTACGCCTCGTGAGGAGAAAGTCTTGTGCTCCTTAGTTGGAAGCCGGCTGCCTAATAACATCACTGAGTGCTAGTACTTGTAGAGTTGTAAGAAAAAAAAAAAAGAATAATTTATGTCCCTTTTCACCTTTTCAGTGCTACTGATAAAGACCACTGTGTGATTTCATGGGGAGACAATGTAATGCAGGAAAGTCTTAATTTTACTAATGACAATCTCTCAAAGTATATACACCATCAGAGAAATATACATTGTGGTGTGTCTCATATAAAAATAGTCAACAGTATTAATGAGCCATCTCTCAATGGGATTTTGATTTCTTTTACTTTTTCCCATCCATGTTTTCCTCCTTCACATGCTGCTGATGGACCTCAGTCTTTCCCATTATATATGTAATATATTAATTCAGCTGTTACCTGGGTGATACAGCTCTCATAACACGTTTTTCCAGGAGAAGATGTAGAGGTCTGGAAGTTTATTGCATCTTAGTTACTCCAGTGTAAAACCCGGATTACTCCCCATTAATGGAGTTCTGTTAGCATTAGAAGGTTAGCTAATGTGCAAGAGGACGATCAGGTCGTATATTTAGAGAACAGCAGTCATTCATAAATCCTGAAACGGCATGTGAGCTGTAACACTAACACCGTGACTAAGCAGAAAGAAAAAAAAACCAAACTGAGATGCAGCATTTGTTTGAAGTGAGAGGGTAGCTATGAGTTACTACAAGTACAGCCAAATCTTCGTGATAAAACTGTAAGAGATCCAAAAGCGGTACGTGTTTACAGTACAAAGTGCAACCAACTGCATGTACGGAGATCATGAACCTGTTGAATTAAGTTTTGGCTTCTAGATTAAAAGCCATCATGGATTGCCTAGCAAGGAATATGGAAACAAATTAAAAGCCATTTAATTTCTAAAATTAATGTTAATACTAAAGTAAAGGGGAATAGTCTTATATATAAAGAATATTTTCCGGAGCCATATTACTGTGACTGAGATAGTGGAAATGTGGTTAAGCAACTCAGGTGGAGAGAAGATCCAGTAAGCATTGCTGTAATTTCTCTTTTCTAGGAATGATTTAAACTGTCAGTTTTTCTTGCATTTATTTTACTACTGTTCTTTGAAGCTTCAGTGGAGTATCTCAGCTCCCTGTTTGGTATAATTTGTTGTTTGTAGTATACAAGTGGGAAAAGCCAAAAAAACAAACCAAAAACAAAAGGACTGGGTTTCGAACCTTATGACTTCACTCTGGAATTCTTTGGTAGGCACTTTTTCTCGTTTGTTTGACTTTATTTTAGGAATTGTAAATAAATAGCATTGACAAAGTTATTTAGAATATGGGAAAACATCTTACATATGAGGACTAAATTGTAGGCTGATAGCTTTCCCAAAGCAAAAGTGTGGTAGATTAACGTGCATCTAGTGCTACTTTTTAGATGTGCCTGTGAGGAAACAGTGGATTTTGATTGCTAATATCCCTAGATAAAGGATAGTCCTAATAATCCAATAAAAACAAAATCAGGAGAATGAGAGGGATACAGGGATCAGGCAGTCGCTTTAATTCAAAAGGGAAAAAAAAGTATAAAATGTTCTGTGATAGGATAAAAATGGATCAGCATTTGAAACATTTACTATAATATGTACAGCAATCTACAAAACTTTTACCTTTTTATACATTATTTATTTTCATTTTGAAAGAGAAAATATTTCCTATTCCATATAAGCTCTAACTTCTGCAGAGCTTCGAAATGTCTCTACTTCACCACCTCACCCTGCTGATGACTTTAGATACATCTTTTAGCAACAGATGAACAGTCTAAGGAAATAGTACTGTCAATGTAATGTTTAAAAGTGATACTACCCCAACCCTTTAAGACACCCTTAAAAAAAAAAAGTTTTGTCTAAATGAATTGCTCAGCTAATCAACACATTTCTCAGGTGAAAAGGTATCTCATTCTTCATACCATTTTGTGTCAGTTGAAAAAAGAAGGTTTGGTACTCAGCTCTAGCAGCACTCCTCACAGCAGCACACCCTGCCTGCACTAGCAGTAAAACTGACAGCTTTGAAAAGGGTGAACTTTTATCTTTGTGACTCTGCGATATGCGAAGATAAAGGCAGTAGCTTACGTAACTCTTGTTTGAAGAAACTTGATCCTTGCACCCACCCCTTTCATTTGACCAGTTAGCGCTTTCTCCTCACATTCAGCGGCGACCATCCGCGCTGAGCTCTTGTGACTTACCTCTGCTGCCCCAGACTCTTGCTGTGCTGCAGGTATTTGTGGGGTTTGTTTTCTTTTTTTAAAAAAACTTTCACAGCTTTTTCTCCTGAGAAATGTAAAAGAAGTGCGTGCTGAGGTCTGACTCAGCATGTTTGGGGAACTTTCATTTTGTCTACGTGCTTTTATAAAGACTGCATGCTCATTTAAACGCCATCAGGGTGCTACTTTCTTTCCTAATTCTTTGAGATGATGGTTCAGAAACCTGTTAGTTTCCCTCCTGAGGTGAGGAAGACGTCTCAGGAGGAGGACTCAGGAGAGACTGTTGAAAGTGAAAAGCCACACAGCAATATCTTTATATTTTTCTGGCTGTGGGTTCAAGATTCTGAAAACTAAAGTTATTGTTTGGTCTTCAAATAAACTCTCAAGTGCTTCCAGGTGGAGATGGTGTAACATCAAGTGCAGGGTGATGGACGTGGGTTTACAGATCCTCCTAAAAGAATAGCTTTGTTAGATGTAGGGGAAAGGGATTAATTTTTATGGAATGTTTCAGTAGCATCTTAGATATGGGAAAAGATACTGTTTGTTTAATGCATCCTATGGTGAATGTAGAAACACTGAAACATTTTGACTATGCTAAAGAGCTTGCAAGTCTATATGGCTTATAAAATATACAAGCCAACACTACCCCTCACAGGCTTGTGTCTGGAGCTCTTTTTCTCAGCTGCTATATCTGCATCTTTAAATATTTCATGTTTTACATGTTGCTTTACGTTTTATTGGATAATACGAAATGTTTGCAATTAAAGCCTTTAAGGATATACTGCATAGTAAGGGCATTGCCTCATTGCCTTTGTGTTTCTGGAGTTCTGAAATATAGGTTTCTTTAGCATTCAATTGCTGGTTTTGTTATATTTTCAGATTTTAGTCTAATCAAAAGGAAATAGTTTGTGAATGGAAAATTAGTTATTGACTCTTTCCTTCTATATATTTAAACTGTATTTTGTCTTGTATGCTCGTCTATTAATTCATTTTTTCCTTGTAGACTTTTTTTAAATTAGAAGTCCTATACATGAGACTGCAGCATGTGAAAAAAAACCCACACCTATAGGTGGGTGTGGCTTATTTATAAAATAATAAAGGATTTGCGTTATTTGAGCGCCCTGAATTAATACAGCTTTCCAATAAGATACAACTTGTCTTGAATTGGTCTGTGAAAATGAAATCTCGCAGGATCTGCAACCCCAGCCCTGCTAACACTGCTTGGGATATTCTGAATTTTAAAGTCTGCAAATCCAGAACATTTTGATCCCTGGAAATCTGCACAAATCTCCTGGCTGTAGGGTTGTTTGTTTGTTTGTTTGCTTTCCTAAAGCTGTCTCTTTATTACCACAACTGTTTAAGTCCTGCTGTTTCAGAGACTGTTCAGTAACCTGCTTTTTCCCACTTCTCTCTATGAGTGTATTTGGCATAGTCAAGTTCGAACATCCTTGTTTCTCTATTGACAAAGTTTTCTTCGATGGTACCCACAAATTATCTGTAGAGAGTTCATGTAAAACTATATCTAAATTCACTCCATGTTCTTTAATAACCTGGAGATGAACTGTGCATATTCAAATAAGCTATTTGAGTAAATTTGCAGCAATATGAAACCAGTTCACCCAGTTGGTTAACCTAAGGTTGATGGCATAAATTATTAACTTGAGACCAAGGAGTTACATAAATCTGTGTCATATTCTGCTTGTGCTTTTGACCTTTGTGAATTATTTGTTTCTTTTCACTGAAGCAAGAGTTTGTAAAAAATTAACCATACCTGACTGTTACCTTCTTGCCAAAACTTTTGCCTCAACTTAAGGAATTTTTCCTTGGAAAAAAAACAAACCAAAACAAAAAAACCCTCATGTTGAGTTTTCTTTTTTCCTGTCTTGGACTTTGAATGCATTCCTTATTTAATATTAAACAAATATAGAATTGCAGAATCATAGAATGGTTAGGGTGGGAAGGGACCTCAAAGATC